GAATGGAAAAAGGTGTGCGTGTGTGCGTGCGTGCGCTCGCGTGTGTGTGTGAATGACAGCGTTTTAACTGTACAGAAGAATGTGTGACATGTTGTTTTTCTCCAGCCACACTGATACCAGGACTCGGTTTTTCCCATGATGGGCTGAGGGAGGGGCGTTGATGCTATTCAGTAAAAAAATCTTTTTTTTTCTGACAAAGACAAAAAAGCTGTTGCTGTAATTGAAACTTTTTTTTTTAGTTTGTTTCTGCTTATTTTAATTTATTTTTGTACTGTGATGGAAAAAAATAAAATGCACTGATCGTTCAAGGCCGTCGTTTGTCTTTTTGTGCCTCCGGCGGTGGATTAATGTGTGTGAAATCTGATATTAGCATCTTCTTTCTTAGGGAAAGAGCTTTATTAGGTTTGTGTGGATTTATCCGTGGAAGCAGCCCAGTAAACACCAAAATCTAATCTGGTCTAAAACGATAGCTTGACAGCTAGCTCATGGGTGGTGACACAGTATGGTACGTGCCTGGCTTGCAGTCTATGGAAGAATTCTGCAACAGCAAAGATGGTTCATTTATTTGAAAATTAATTTAAACAATGCATCAAAATAACTACCAAGTAAGTGCCCAGAGCTGTTATCAATAAGTCTCCCAGCCTTGAGGAGAATTATGGTAAATACTCAGGACTTCCAAATCAATAAGTGATGCTTCCAAGATTTCAAAAGTATGAAGTCAGTTGAGCACTGTGCAGCTGTAGCCCAGAAATGTTGCAGGGCTATATTTATTTGCATTTTTATCTTTATCAATTTTCAAATTGTCAAGCAATTAGATACAGTTTACTTTCTAGATCCTGTGATAGATCTGTGATTTGTCCGGGGTTGCCTCAACTGGTTTAAGAGCTGAATTAAATGAGTGGAAGAAAACAGATGGATGGATCAATGATTCCTAGATCAGGGGCTTAGTTTGTAGTGAAAAATGTTCTGTAAGCATTAGTCACATCACAGGCATATATCCCTGTTGTTTGCTTGTTACACCAAAACAACCAGCCCAGCAACGAAACAGCTGCTTATACCTTTGTAACATGTTTGTTTTATGGGCTTTGAATTCTTTAAAAATCGTCCCAAATCTTTTCCCATTCAGGTGAATGAGAAGGCTAGATTGGGCTTATGAACTGTCAGAGTTGGAGGAGCAGAGAAGTTTTTCTTCAACATGATGTTTGCGAGCCCACAATTCTCACTCTAGAGCAACAATTCCTCAAAACCAACAAATCTAGACTTTTTAATGTGGAGGCATTTGAGTGACAGGGTGCAATAAAGCTGAAATAACCTCTTCTGGTAAATTCACCCAACCGCTGATCTGTAGAGCAACTTTTTTCGGGTTCATGTTTCTTTTCTTTTTTCTTTTTTAAATCATGTTAATGAGACTTGTGGTTCTGAATTTTAACTTTCTCTGGAGTGAAATATTACCCAGATGTCTCTGTGTACACACAACAACATGACAAGAATAACTAACTGCTGGGGCGCTTACACAGGTACACACACTGACAAGCTGGCTGACTTGAATATAATCATTACATTGTTTAATTTAAATCTCCGTTCTCTGTTTCTTTAACCGTCCGTTCTTCTGATTGGTGGAAGCAAAGACTTGTCTCTTTCTAAATCAAATGTTTGTCCTGCAGACAACTTCAATCCATCTTAAATTTTTTTATCCTTCTGTCACAGTCACAAGAAGCTATTCTGTTGAGCACAGCCATGTCGGATTTTCAGAATAAAGGCTCTGGGGAAACAGGATTCTTTAAATTCTCAGGATTCTAATGTTTGTTTGTTTTTTCAAAGTAACCCCCCAGTTATTTATTAGATCTTGTCATGATGCCTTATTGTTGTGAAATTTAAGATAGCTGGCCACTTAATTAAGGATAACTGTGCTGAGCCATTTTATTGGGTACACCTAAAGGCTTAGTATGTCTTACAATCGCAGCACAATTTCTGTAAAACACATACACCATCTACTTAACTGTTATAACTTTGGCAGTCACTTTTTTCTGAAGTTGCAGTCCGTTTGGTCTCTCAGGGCCACCGTACTTTTACCCACCACAACCAGCTGCTTCTTATACACACATGTGCTTCTTTGACTACTCTTCTAACATATAGTTAGACTCTGTGCTATCACTGCTAATGGAGTCTTGTACTATCAATGATCCTGAAAGTGATCAGTCAATATGAATGAGCTCAATGCTAGTGTCTTACAGCAAAATTGTCTTCACTGTCTTCCCTTTTTGTCTTGGATCATAGATCAATAATAATTTAGTTCAGCTTTATTCAGTCGTGCCCATTCAGAACCATTTCGTGAGCATTTTCTGCTGTAACCTTCTCGATTTGCAGCCAGTTTGTGTCCAGTGGGACAAAGTGGACTTTTATGCCAGCACTATTTAGACACCACTCGCTCATAACAACACTCCTAAGATTACCTATGAAAACACGTGCCATAAAGGGAGGAAATCTGCTTTCCTGTAAGACTTAGAAAACAATAAAGTCATAACAGAAGATGGTTTGTTTAAGCTGTATATTGTATTTCAGTTCAGTTCATTGAGGACTATCTCATGAGTGCCCTCTAGGTGAATTGCAGCCATTGTCAGAACAATATTAATAGGAAGTGGAATTGCCCTCTGTACTAGGTTCAGTGTTACTGAGCCATAGGAAAATATAACTTTTAATTTCCACACCTGTGTTTATATCTGAACTGGCAGTTCATGCTCTGTTCGGCTCTCTTTTACTGTGTTGGCAAAACTGATCCTAGCCTCCACATCCACAACTAATGTTCTTGAGCAATGACCTTGAAACCCCCACATGCGGGACAGAGACATACGTGCTATAAAACTGTTGGTGACAGCTGTAAATATACAGAGTGCAACTTTGTCATCCATAGTTTTTTGTATCAGGTTTTCTTTTTTTTTCTAGATGTGTGGGGTTTTGAAAGACCTGATTTGATTTCACAGATTAGAGTAGCCTCTCTGATTGTAGGTGTTAATATGTGTAACCAGATGGTCTGCACATTACCGTTGATGGCTTAGGGGCAGGACAGGTCAAATTAAGGCTACTTAATTAAGAGCCATGTTTCCTTTGCTCACCAGTGGTGTTAAAAGATAAAAATCTATCATATTCTGTTGTGTGCTGATGTAAATAGAGTCAGCAACAACAAGCTTTTTTTAGAGACTGTAGTAGAAATAGAAATGTAGTGGAGTGAGGCTGTCATCAGTCCACTGAGATCATCCTGAGCCTCAGTGATTTATGCTTTACATTACTGCAAACCTTTTATTCAACAATCACAAGCATAAATATTTTCTCATGTTGTTAAAGAAAAGCTCAGTCAGCTATGTTTTGTGTCTTCCCAAAATAATCAGCAATAATTGTCATTGTCAAGAACAAAAACACCTCAGCGCAATTAGCAATTTGAAACCTCTACTTAAGTTCTTAACAACTTGCAACTGGTCAGGAAATATATACATTTCCTTTGTAACCACGTGGTTGATAATCGCTCTCTTGGCAGCATTAAAAAGCATGTTTGAAGCCTGGTGCTAAAAATGGGTTTGCTCTTTATGGAAAGCTTCCGCCTTCATAGCAACTGTATATTGTGTGAAATTTTTAATAACTGGAATTAGGCGTGTGCCCATTTTGAACAGGTGTGCCGACACAGACAGCTGTCTGCTAGGCTGCCATCCATCTTCTTCCACTTATCCAGTTCGGGGTCATGGGTGCTCTGGAGCCTAGCGCAGCTGTTGCCAGTCTTGCGGGTGGCAACACAAATCATTGATTAGCCTAATGAGCCTGTTTTTGGACTGTGGGTAAAAGCTAATCAGGGACAAGAGGTAGCCAGTAGATTTGAACCCAGGACCTTCTTGCTGCAAGACACCAGTGCTAACCACTGTGTCACTGTTTATAGAGCTATTTTACAAATAATATAACTTACTTTGCTGGCAAGACATCCAATAACTCCATATTCTAGAAATTAAAATTCTGGTATTTTATTAGTTTGTTGCTTGGTAGGCATCTTGAAGGCATTTACACCTGAGCTTTGCACCTGTACACTTTATAGATGCTTCTCGCTATAAGTAACTCCTAATTCCACCATGTGGCTCCAATAAGCAAACCTGACACTGACCAAAATGTCAACACCGAGGCTTAGATTATTATCTAATAATAATAATAATAATAATAATGGATTGGATTTATATAGCGCTTTTCAAGGCACCCAAAGCGCTTTACAATGCAACTATTCATTCACTCTCGCATTCACACACTGGTGGAGGCAAGCTACAGTTGTAGCCACAGCTGCCCTGGGGCAGACTGACAGAAGCGAGGCTGCCATATCGCGCCATCGGCCCCTAAATTCAAGTCCAAAACCAACTGGTAACATTATTGTGGCTCGGTCCTTTTTTAGTATACAGTCTATGTTTTTAATGTATGGCTGTATGTTTAACATCTCTGAGTGATAGTCAGAGTCTACCTTTGCAGAACAGACCCCAGAAATGTAAATCCGTACATTACTTCACATGTACTGGAAACCTCCCACACCGAGACAGACGTTTCTGGGTTAGTTTGAGCTCTGCTCATTCATTTAGCCAACAGATCAGTCAGTCCGGCCTCAGTTAGTCACTGGCCTTGAAGAAAAGTAGACTCATCCCACTCTTTGCAGCAGATAGTCATCCATCAGCCAGTGGATTATAAACCCCTGCTGAGATAGCTGATGATGGCTGGTGACACATTGGCGGTGGGAAGTGGTGTTGTCATGCCAACTGCAGAGGTTTTAGCCGTCTCGACGTCAACCGGAGAAACAGCTGTTAGTGGGTGGATTAACACTGCGCTCTGCCCAGCTATTACCGCATCATGTGTTAGAGACTACGACTGGGAAACAAAACATTAGCCTTTACATCATTTACAGATTAATGACCTCTTATCTGAGCATGCCTGTAGCACATGACGGCACACACATGCAACAAAAGCACAATGGGAATCACTTAGTGAAGCAAATAAATTTATTAATAAATCAATTATTGAAATTGCTTTCATTAAGAAATATAACTAGCATTCATACAGAATATTACAGCATTTCCCTTTAGACGTACCATAAATATATTACAGTATATTTATGGTACTAATGACATCTTACACAAATATGCAAAATACAAACTTAATATAAAATTAGGCACTTGCTGAACGAATGCTGCATACATACAGATTTAGCTTAAAGCTACAGACGACAGAATAAATTACAATAAAGAAAAGGGAATTTGTTTCACTTTGGCTAACATGGATGGGCTTGATAACAGAAACTAGAGACTGCATCTCACTGCACGCCACAATAAAGTGAAGAATGGCACAAGTCCATAAATGTTAACATTCATATTTGATCTTGCCTTTGATTTTTAATCTTATGGTAAAACTTCTAATCAGCATAAAGGAAAAGTAATTATCTTTGATTAGACTCGCACATCAAAGATTTTAATAAAAATCATTAAAGAATAAATTTTGTGATTTTTCCATATTAATAAATCCCATGAAAACCCCACAGCCAACAACACACTGTGTACATATCCAAAAACATGTGCCATCCAGATCACTGTATTACCGGGCGACATGTCCCTCCATTAAAATGAATGCACAGACTATTTTGTGCTGTATAACATTTATTGCACTAACTGTGCATCAATGCATTTCTGATGCAGTGGTTACATCCACAACGACTGTATGTGTGCTTCAGTAACCTTTGCTAAATCTACAATGCCCAAGTACTGAAGATTATTGTGAAAATGAAATTGCATGTTTGTCATCTACACTACATGACATCAGATATAGTTTTCAGTCATGTTCCCAGTGCAGAGCTGTGGTGCCCAAAACACACTTGATCCACTGCAGACCTGCAGCACTAATTTTCCATCAGTTTCAAAACACGTATGTTTAAATAACCTCAAGGTATAAAAAAAACAAAATACAGGTGAATGAAATGTAAGCTATCGGAGGGTTAGTTATGTTTTATATATATATATGTTTTTTAGGTTCTATAATGCTTCCTTCTGGAGCTGAGGGCATGAAATTCTGTCAAAGACAAGGTGAGTAAGTATGTGTGTCAGTATTTACAGACAGTAAAGAGGCAGAGCTATTCTGGATAGGTTTCCAACTTGAATCAATGAAATGGCCCAATATTGACAGGCTGGCTGTGAAGTTGAAGGTGCTGAAGGTTTGATTTGGCCACTGCTCTTAATTCAGAGACTATAATTCACATGTAGTTGTGAACAGAGTGGGTAGTCATTAGTGCATCAGATTTAATAACTATTCGGAAATGTGTAAAATCAAAGCTGGTAAAGACGCCTGTCAGAGAGCACAGGTAAGGTGAGTGTTCCTATAAAGATGTGACAAAGCTTTTCACTGGCTCCAAGACAAAGAGATCTTCTCCTTTCCTTCATATTTATTAAGATCTTTGTCTCTGTATTTAAAGGAGCTTTGTTTCTGATCGTTTATATTTTCTGCCTTGTCTTGTTGCAGGTGTACTCTCCCTCTTTATTGCCACACCTCTCGACTCCAGGATGACTGAAGAATTGTATAAACCTGAAGGATCTTCATCGCCTTGCAGGATGGTACAGCCAGCCTAGCTGAGCAGGCAGCCAAGTGATTTGACCGAGGAAGCAAAAACAGAGAAGGAGGGAGGAATGGGGGCAGGCAGAGAGGAGAAAAGAAGCAGAGCAAGTACAGGAAAGGATCCCGGGCAGGGCTTTGTTCACCAACCCCCTTTAACTTAAGAAAGCAACGAGAGAAGCGCTGAAGTGAGAAGTGACACCGAGTCCATCCTAATGATGAGCGGTGAATAGCCGCGCAGAGAGGAGGAGAGGAGAGGACAAGCCCTGTGGGAGATTACTGCATGTTGGAGGATATGGAGAGCTGCAGTGTTATTGCTAACACACACACACACACACACACACACACACAGACTTTGCTGAGCTCCTCTGAAAACCACCTATTAGCGCTGCCAATGTCACTTCCTTAATCCACACCACGAATGCACCAATTTCCCCAAACAACTCTGTGTCTTATCAAGCAACAGGACAAGGTCATCCAGCAGAAAAGCTCTGAGGTAAAAATGGGGGAGAGGGGCACTCACAAGCTAATTTAGATAAATGACTTGTTCATACAACACTCAGACACAGTCAGAGAACTGTGGCTAAAACGACTGCTAACAAGTTTTCCTCTCAGTTGTGACGAAGCCTGCCTCTTCAACTAGGGCAGACACAGAGGGAACTCCATTGCTAACCTTGGGCTGTTGTTCCTTAACCCAGATTCTTTCCTGTGTCTTTACACAGAGACAATGCAGCCCTGTGACTGTGGGCAGAATAATTATATAGTACTAAAAGTTTCCGATAATCTTTGGACTCAACAAAAGCATCCGACAGCATAACTGTTCCTTCCCTATTTTAGAACCAACCTGACTTTCATTAGCAGATGTTTTTGGTGACAAATGACAAATCAGAAAGAACCCATTTTAATTTTTATTTTATTAGTATGTTAAGTGCTGCATATAGCTCAATACCTGCGTCTGTGAAGTTCTTGAATGCAGCTTTCTAGCTATAAAAATGTTGTTGTCAAGCATTTTTTTCTTAACAAGTAGAAATGTCATCGGCTGATCAAAATTATGAACTTTTATCAAAAGACCCTGAAAAACCAACTAAATGAGGTTATGTGTGAATGATTTTAAAACTGCCAGAGTCAAGAGTTTTTACTTTTAAGCTTATATATTTGTTGCATGGTAGCAAAACTGTATTTACACAAGAAAAGCAAAGAGTGTTGTTGCTGACTGAAGATGAGCATCAGGCTTTCATCGACTGTAGTTTCACAGCCATCTGTGTTTACAATTCAAGATCTACTCTGCAGGAAGCTTCCTGGTTTTGTTTGTATGTGCACTGCTGAAAACCACCGAAATTTGAATATCACCATCCAATGCACATAAAGACAGATATTGCAATTTTTATGCTGCCACACTTTGTTGTAATTAATATAAAAAACACAAAAACAGCATATTGGAATGTGCTAACAATGGACACTCACCTAACAGCTTGTAAGAACATTACAAACCAGACCCAGAGCCACTTTCACGCGCTGATGGTTAGATTAGTACAATTTGGCTTTTCACACTTTGAGAAGTGTGATTAATTTTTTTTAGTGAGATAAGATGTAAATGAAGTCTCTGAATAGACCACAAAATATACGAAAAGTCATGGGGACAGCAGTCTGACTAAGGACGTCACACCCTTCTGTCCTCGCTCCTTCTTGGTGGCTACCAGCCAGCCTCTCTGAGCCAAGAAGTGAAGAGCGAAAAGAGCTAATCAACACACACACAGACTCCCTCAATCGCACTCACACACACTCACTCACTCTCCTTTGATGAAGGGGATATTTGTCAAGTGGAAGCCTATTCCAAAGGACTAAGGGCCACTACAAGTCATCAGGCTATTCACTAGACACAAAGACAGCAAATGAGAGTGCATTTAGGAGCTGGAGTTCACATGGGATTATACAGTACTGGCCAGTAAGAACATGAAGTCTCACGTTTGGAGAAAATATGGACTGAAAACACTTGTAGGGAACAAAGTAACGCTTATGTCATCATCCACTTATTTGACTTTTGTTAACGAGTTACAGAATCCCTGTTTACACCAAATGCAGTGTAAGTTCTGCATGCACACATATTTGCACTGCTGTTCACAAACAGCACGTTCTAACCTCACATAAGCAGCATTAGCGTGTTTATTATAAAACTGCAGACATCGCACAGAAACTATAAGATTACAAGATTAAAATTAGTAGATTTTTTCCGTGTTGCTGGCTGCAAAGTTCAGGATGTGCTCAACACATCCAGCTCAACACCCTGTGACTAAAACTAAAAGAAAAATGTGCTATTTGATTCTCGCTCACTGTCCTTTTAAGTGATTGTGACTATTGAAACAAAAACTATAAGTGGACAACCTTCCACTCACCGCTTACGCAGGCAAGTCTGCAACTAAAGTAATTATAATTAAAGTTATTTAGAAAACAAAAACAGGTTTCTACTGTTTTAAAGCAATTTAGATGAATCAAAGTTATACATGAATTTTCTCTTACTTAATTTTTTATGGTTTCACTTTTGATGTGGCTCCTACACACGGAGCTGCAGGGATTATGAATTGCTGCAAAGCCTTTGGATTTTATTTTTTTTGTCTCTTATGCAACATCAGTGGTTCTGAGAACAGTTGCTGCATAATCTCCTCTCACCTCCACTCAAAATAATCAATGCACAATAAAAAAAAAATATTGCACAAAGCAAATCATTTCAATTTTTGATTCTAAAAAAAGAACGAACACCTCTTTGGTGCATAATCATATAGTGCATATAAAAAAAACCCCCCGCCTAGAATTCAACTGAAAATTCAAATTTGGCATTGCTTTCCAAACTGAGGACCGAGCTGCTCTGTCACATTATTAGCAGCTCTGCAAAACAACACAACAAGTGAATCATCATCATTATTATTCAAGACAGCTTCAAAATCAGCTGCTTTTTCTGTCTCGGCCCACTTTAGTTGCCAGGAACAGCCAGGATGTACCCAGACCGGCTCTTGGTGAAGTCCGGCTGCGACTGGTTGATCTTGGGCTCAACGATGACCGTGCACTTTCTGCCATTCATGCTGCACTGGATGGGACTCGCAATGTTCACCTGCAGCTTCCTCTTCTCACTGTGGAAGGAGAATACAAAGACAGAAATACCTGTTAGAATTCAGACAAATTACTGAACACTGATTAGACGTTCTTAATGAAAATATCTGCAAACATAACCTCGGATTATTAGTCTGGTCATTACAATCAGAAAATATTTGCAGCCTCACTGGTTTCACTGTTTAATGCACAGAGATAAAATAAGCAGATCCATTAGTAACCAGAATGTGTGTACGAGGCAGAGCACAGGTACAAGCCATTAATCATGTTTACTCCATCATAATCTTGGAAATACACCACAGTCACACACACACACACACACACACACACACACACACACACACACACACACACGCTCATGTTGTAAATGCTCTTACTGTATATGCACAGTCACACTCACGCAGTAATAATAAATCTTGGAGCCACAAATCTTGCTCAGAAAAAAACTCTCCTTTCATAAAAACAAAATCCTTCTCAGTCATGCACACTGTCAGACTCACATATGTACACACAGACACACTTTTATGAAACCAGGTACTGTTGTGCACAACAATGACAGAGCATATAAGACAGAAAAACTGCTTTTAAGTGAGATGGAAAAAAATACCAGAGGGAAGTGATCCAAATATACCGTAAAAATAAAATTTTTTAATTCGTATTTATTTAAAAAGGGACAATGCAATCTAACATAGTCCTCATATGGAGCATGAAACTGATGTGCTGCACATACAGTCTATAGCTATTGCTAATTTCCAGCTCTTGTCCATTGTTGGGCTTTTACATCCACGGTCTACAAACAAAATTACAACATAATAATTCTGTGTAATGCTTAAAATAAAAGTCAGAAAAGATATATGATTAAATTAAGATGTACAAAGTGAAATACAAAATCTAATTAAATTATAAAGTGTATTAAATTAAAAACACAGTTGAAAGACCTCGAGTTGCTTAAACTTGAGCGGCTAACTTGCCTTTTAGTTTTGAACTCAGGAATCAGCTTAAAGGATTGTGGCAGAAGATCAAAGAGATCCTTTGGAATTTTATTCACGTAACACCAACTAACAGATGTCACCCTGGGTCACTTTACATAGAAAGTCTTATAGAGAGAAATCTAACAATCCCCCACTGTGCACTCAAGCAACCACAGACTTATTACAAGGTCAGAAAGGGACAACAAAAACCCCATCAGCCGGTTCATGTGGAGATTTTAAATTTGGAGAGAGGAGGAGAAATCCAGTCTACTAAAGAAAAAAAAGCATGCACTAACTTGCAGTAGTGTACAAAATGTGATCTTTAAGTTTAATGACTTCAGCCGTAAAATTCAAAAACATTATCTGATTAAATCTAGCTGATTGGGTTTTTTTTTTTTTTTTTTAGATTGCTTCATCCTGTCGCCTTGCACATGTGCCTCTGTGATGTGCATTCAGTGTGTCAAAACAGAAACCTGCAACTGGGATTAAATTTGCTGAACGAGGATGAAGCTGCAGATAGTCAAATGTGACGAGCAGGTTTCGTGATGACCCAAGACTCAAATAAGTGTTTGACCCTGAGGAAAGAATTCACGGTGCACAACCCCGCTGAAGAATGACAAGCATGGCATGAATACTTATCATAGAACTAGTTCTTATTACTAGTGATGATTCTCAACATGAAAACTGATCCATGGTGAAATTACATAGTGCACATCCAAGTGTTGAGGGGACCTCCATGGAGTGACAGCTGTGCTGGAAGCAGTCCAGAACTGCACAAGGAGGGAAACCTCCAAGGGGAGATCGGCCAAAATGTGTTTTTTGCAGCAAAGATTCGATCGCACCTCACATTGGATATGTGATGCAGACTAGTTTGTAAGCTGAATCTTTTAAAGACCTGTATGGTCAAGACAGCAGAAACACTGCCGCTGCACCCTGTTCAAAGCCACAGCACGAAAATACACGGGTACAGTAGAAACACTGCACACCCATGTAGGCGTTTTAAATTACTGTGGCTGTAAACGTTACAGACCTACTCTAATGTCTGTGTCATGTGATCTAGTGTCAAATCAGTCTAAACCTAGAAGTGTGACTGCTAGTAGTGTATAAAGCATGCTAGCATTAATAGACAGCAGCACTAGTAGTAGTGGCTGCAGTTAAGTTTTTGCAGAAACTTGCAGAGCCTTTTCTACTCTGAATCAGCCACTGAAAACCATCTGAACTATATTTATATAAAAGGGCACACATAGTATTTTGTTTACATGCTGCTCAAATGGATCATTAAAGGTAGTAAATGGCCAGTATTTGTGTACCAATTTGAAACGAGTACTCGACGAGTACAAACTGGCACTGTGCTGGTTTGGTCCTGGAACGTGCTTGATGATCCAGGCTGTCAAATCAAAGCACGTCTGTTTTTCTCACCTGAACCCTTAGACGACAGCTATTCACTCTAACAACAAAAATAAAAACTGGTGTGTAGGTGGACCGTGATGTGAAGCTATTTGCTGGAAATGTCAATTAAATACAACTTAACATGATAGCTGCAGACTGCCTGCACTCATTCTCATCCAATAACAATCACACGATGTAGTATATAAAATATGGATGTAGCCTCTGGGTCTGAAAAGTAAAGTTATTATGGATAATGCATTAAAACTGGTTTCTTTCTAATGGAAAACAGCAAGCAACTTCTCTTGCTAAAAAAAAGTGCATAAAAAAAACTAAGTAAACACTTTCCTGATGATTTTATGGTGTCAGTCACTAGTTACAAGCTGCATGTAATGCTGACAGAGTGCAGTCTTTAAGATTTCTAGTCATCACAGTGAACAAGGCTTTAGTATTACATGTGGTCAAACGCTTGGCAAGTTGTAAATGTTTGCAGTACTGGGCAGCTGGCAGGCTAACAGCAGCCAAAATGTTGCAATGACTCATTCATTTCTGAATATAACTAGATGTAAGTGTAAAACTTGCAATTTCATTTGAGCTAAATGTATTCACTTTGCTTCTAAATATTGAGTATAGTCAGTAGTTTAGTAGTTGACAGGACTGTGTTGCTAAGCTAAGCTAAGAGGCTGGCAGATGCAGACTTATATTCGTGAGTATGATTTTGCTGTTGGACAAACAAATATTCCCCCCGCCCAAAAAACAGAGTAGAAATATTCTTTTAAATGGAAAAATAAGTAGGCAGCTAAATTTCTCAGTTCCTAACTCTTTAACGATAAAAAATGAAGCTACAGGGAGCAACTGAATAAAGCCCTGGCGATCGCCATGACAGAATTTTATATCTGTGTGTGTGTGTGAATGTGTTTTTAAAGCAAGAATATATGTATGAGATGCTAACGTGCTATGGAAATAAACCGTGATTATGCTATGTGGGTGTATACGAGTGTATGTGGGAGAGAAATGTGTATGATTACGGTGCTGTGCATCTTAATAACCTTCAACACAGTGGAGACGTATGTACGAGCATGTTTCAGCTCACAGATTGAGAAAATTAAGATGAATAACAGAGAAGAATTCATGCAGCTCTGCTGTTGAAGGAATGATCCATATGGTGGTGCTGGGTTGGAGCACAGCAGTGGATTGGCTTTTAGTGCCTGTCACATCTAGTTAGACCCTTTCTGGGTGAACGGGTGCTCTGCCTCGTTTGCTCTTAAACAGGATCGATGACGGGAATCAAAGAGTGAGAAGAAAACGGCATAAATCGTGTGGTTGCTGTTAGCAGAAAGCGAGAGAGAAATCCGAGGTGATGTAAATGTGAGGAGGGGAACGAGAAGATGAGAGTGATAATTGCTCTCTGGTGGAGGGGAAGATGGAAATGTAGACAGGAGGGCTGGCGACAGGAAGCTGAAAGTGTGATAAATAAATATGCATCTCTCTGTTCAGTCAAGTGCTTGTCTTGTCACACTTTCTTCAGTGGCACAATTACCGATCGTGGCATAAACAAATTCATTATCCGCAATTACTGCCTCCCATCTCTGTCCCTGAAATGTGAACCGATAACGCCGACTTGTTGCACAACAACAACAAGAAGTCATAAACAACAAGCGAAAGGCTTCTGCTGCCCACGCTGCACTCCTCTGCAGAGTGTGTGTGCAGCTCTCCATCTCCGCTTAGAGTGGAAAAGCTCAGACTACCACCGATGCTGGTTTCCATGGCAACCCCCGTGAGCTGAACTCCCCCATCTGTCATGGCTGCCAGCCAGGAAATGGGACTGTTGGTGTGAGTATGTTTAGATATGCCTCTCTCTCCGTCCATCTCTACCTCTCCCATCTCTAACGCGCTGCTGAATTGCCAGAGGGGATGCTGTGCTGTGCTCCGTGTGAAGGGCAAACAGGGTTAGGCTCACATAAACAGCAACATACCCACATGTATACACACACATAATACCCTGTAACACACTCTCACAAAGCCAAAATGATCTCAGACACCTTTCTGATCTGTCAGCTCCAAACCTTTACTCTGAATAAATACTCCAATAAAAACCAATAGAAGCCTTTATCTGTGAATAGAAAAACGTGATCAGTTGAGTCTTAAGGTCACTGGCTGGCCTTTCCCATAACGAGCCAGAGCCCCGAGGGTAGACTTGGTCCTTCATTGCATGGCCTCTCCAACTGGAAAATCAATTCTTTCCTTTACTCCAACCTCGCTCCCTTTGTGCGTCTTTGCCCTTCATGCCATGTGAGCCCAGCCTCACTTGCTTCCTAAAGTAATTCCCTTTCACTGAGAAGGATGCAGAACAGGAGGAGAAAGGGAAAAATAAAGAGAAGGTGAACTGAAATGAGTGATTAGATGAAATGGGAGTGAAAATAAAACTTGAGCGCAAAACTGTGGAGGGTCGAGGTCAAGTTTAAGTGTGATGAAAAGGAAAGACAAATATAAAATATGTAGAAAGTCCTATGCAGAATGGTATCTGAAAGGAAAAGTGTTGCAAAATGAAAAAGGGGGGAAGAGATGTTGGAAAGACTATTTTCAGGTCGAGAAGGCAGGATTACCTCCAGTCTGTTAAGCCATCCAGTCCCACTTCTGAGTCATCCCTCTAATAGTGTACC